AAATTTATCGAATCTTGCTTTATGGCCTGGTGGATAATCCATGTGTGATTGAAAAGAATGAGTACTTCGCTATTTTGGAGTAAAGTATTTTATTTATGTCACTTAAGTCAAATTGGTTGATAGAGTTGTTCGGGTCTTCTGTATTCATAGTGATTTTCTCTTTACTTGTTTTGTAAAGTACTCAAAGAGGAATATTGAACTCTCCAAGTGTGATTGTTGAATTATTTATCCTTATTTTAATTCTGTCAATTTTTGCTTTATGCATTTTTGGTCTCTGTTTTAGGTGAATAATATATATTTATAATTGTCTTTGTTTTCTTTTTCTTTTCCTTTTTTTTTGAAGACAGAGTCTTACTCTGTCGCCCTGGCTAGAGCGCAGGGGCACAGTCATAGCTCACTACAACCTCCAACTCTTGGGCTTAAGCAATCTTCCTGAGTCATCCTCCAGAGTAGCTAGGACTACAGGCACAGGCCACTATGCCTGGCTAATTTTTTCTTTTAGCTGGGTCTCACTATGTTGCCCAGGCTGGTCTCAAACTCCTGGCCTCAAGCAATTCTCCTGCCTTGGCCTCCCACAGTACTGCGACTATAAGCATGAGCCACCATGTCAGGCCTATAATTGTTATTTTTTTAATGTATTGATTTAATATATAACTTCATAAAATACAGCTCCTTTCTTTAGTAGTGTTCCTTATGTAAAAATCTATTTTATCTTATGTTAATATTCTCACTCTAGTTCTCTTTCATTACTATTTACATGGTGAAACTTTTCAACCTATTTTTGTCTTTGACCTTATAGTTTCTCTTGCAGACTGTGTATTTATTGCTTTTTAATCCATTCTGACAATCTCTGCGTTTTTATGTTTAATGAATCCTGATTATTATACCATGTTAATTCCTCTATTAACTTTTTAGCTGTATTTCTTTGGTTTTTTCCTCTGTGTTTGCATGAATGATTACAATGTGAATATTTTAATTTATAATTTATTTCAAGTTAATACTGATATAATTTCAGTGAAACACAGCAATTTTGCACCAATATAGCTCTATTTTCTCCTCACTGTCAATAATTGTGAAAAGTCTGAGATTTGACCCTACTTGCAAGTTAGCAAGTGAGCCAGCGTAATAGATTCTGATGGAAGACATGTTTCCTAGGTCGAAGATAAAGGACAGCTTAATACTCACAGCAATAGCTTTAGCCAGAGCATCATCATTTGTACCAGTTCCTCAAGTCTGAATTCCAACAAGGTGACACAACAAGGGGCAAAATATAATACAATTCACTAGAGCAACATTAATGAATTGTGTTAACAGAATACTGATACCATGCATGTTTTGAAAAGTAAAAGTTTCATGGTCAAAAAAGTTTGAGAAATTGTACAATAACTTTATCTACTGTATCTACTATATCTACAATATATGCTAGTTTATTAAAAGTTTATTAAAAGCTTTAGAAATTTCGAAGAAAAGAAAGCTGCTTATGAAGTTAGAGTTCCTTAGATTATTTGATCACAGAATCATCTCCTTTTCTTTTATGTATCATAATAACCTACAGAAGTCATGTTCCACATTACCTGCTTGGCCAAACACTGGGCTAACAAACAATAGGAGTGAAATTTAGGCAGCTTATTTTTAAATGATCATTAAGAAATACAGTATTTATGAAATAAAAGTAAAATAAGCATCATCCTTCCCAATTTCTTTGAAACCATTTAGTGTTCTTCTGTTCTTCAAATGATTGAAGTCGAGTGTACAACATGTTTATCTGTAAACTTTGTTTTCATTTGTAGGGGATGTGATCAACCTCGGTGACAGACAGCTCACTGTTATGCACATGCCAGGTCACTCCAGGGGCAGCATTTGCTTGCATGACAAGGACCGAAAGATTCTCTTCAGTGGAGACGTCGTGTATGATGGATCATTTATTGACTGGCTCCCATACAGCAGGATAAGTGACTATGTTGGAACCTGTGAACGTCTGATAGAATTAGTGGACAGAGGTCTGGTAGAAAAGGTGCTTCCTGGGCACTTCAATACCTTTGGTGCCGAAAGGCTTTTTCGATTGGCTTCTAACTATATTTCAAAAGCCGGGATATGTCACAAAGTTTCTACTTTTGCCATGAGATCTTTTGCAAGCTTAGCTCTACGTGTAACAAATTCTAGGACCTCACCCTAGTATCTATACTGATAATCTATTTTGATTAATTACATAAATTAATTCAATTCATTCTGTGCTATTTAAATAGTTAATAGTGAGCATTTCAAGAAGTGCTTTTCTACCACTATTGTATAAAGAAAGATTGAGAAAAGATTGAGAATGAATAAGCCAAAAAAGAAAATTCTTAGTTTAAATTGTTTTCTTTCTTCCAAGTAAGAAACCACTTAAGTAAGCTTATAATTTGCCAAAGCTGTCATCTTGTAATATTTGCTCTAGAAATGACATAGAAGTATATGGGAAAGCAAGGAGGTATTTTGCAGCAAGAGAAAGGACTGTCCTTGCCTCCAATTTGTTTTATTTTATTTC